TAAATGTTCCATTGTATCAAAAACTGCCGGACTCTATGCTTGACAAATGGCTCCACTCAAAGTCATTTTTGGACAAACGATTTCATCATAGTTATTTTTACTGCATTTATAAAACGTAAGTACTGATCTATCACAGAAAGTTTTATGACTTCAATATGTCAGATTATTTGATCAATTTATTTCTGCATATTTCAGAAGAAGTCACATGATGCTAAATAAGAATACCATTAGCTAAAATTTTATTTTATTTTTAGTTTGTATGGTACTTTACACATAAGAATTACTTCCCTTGTTTACAGTGCTAAAACATACCTTATTTTTATCTGTTTTTCCAATATGTTAAGAATATTTAGAAGACAGAAGATGATTAAGACTGACTATCATGTATGAATTTTAGTCCAATAAAGAACTCTTTTTTTAAATGAGACTCGTACCCTAGTACGGAAGGATACAGCCTTAATTCATTGCAATATCAGATCACAAGAGGATGTTTCAGCAAGTTACACAGATTTGTAAGTGGCATTCACAACAGTGAATGTTTAAAATGTCAAAAACAAAGTAAAAATCTTATTTCTTTTCCCAAATATATTCTCTATCAAATAAAAGTATTTCATATATGCTTTGGGTATACATTTTTTTGTCGTCATCAGATACAATGGCATTGAATCATCACAATGACCTACAGGTAGCAATTTCCATCAACCACATCTGAAGACAACTGAACAGCACAGCATTAATTTTCACCATGATCAGTCTTCTTCCCTTATCCATCATGGCAGTTTGGTTTCTACAATTATTTTTGTTATCAGAATGTAGCCAATTACCTAAGGCACAATGGATAACACCTACAATGAATTAATCTACTGCAGATCCTGTTACCACAGAAATAAATCAATACAGCACCCATTATGTAGATTAACCTAGTTTTGTTGGGTCAGATTTAATTGGGTACACAGTACATTGTTATAATTGTATTAATTTTCCCAAATGGGCCAGCTGACACCCACATGTCATACACTTTCTAGGATCTGCAGCCAGCACTGAAACTATTATGTTTACTACTTTAAGGAAAACACACATTATATCACATAACTCAGTGGGGAGGAGAGTGGAGTTTACTTATTACAAGACAAGGGGACATGATATTTGATAACACTTAATTCTTTCTGAAGCTACCATCATCTTGATAGTGCTTATTACCATCATCAGTTGATTGCCAGAGAGATAATTAATTTTTAAAATGTACTGTAAAATTATAAATTTTTGAGGGGGATTTATTTTCATTGATTTTGTTGGTAAGATAATCCTTGAATTAATACGTCCACAAATTGTTAACTAGTATAAGCAAATCTATTGGGCTATATCTATCTATAAACTTATGTGTCCACGAAAAAAATATTTTAAAAAAAAGTGAAAATTGAGTCCCACAAAAACCTATGATTTTACAGTACTTTATTTGATTCAGCTTAATTACCAGATTATGTCGGGAAATAAGCCCACCTACATATAAGGAAAAAAAGAGCACAGACACAAGACAAGGTAGACAAACAGAAAATCAACAAGTTGTAAATGGTGCAAGAAAACAACTTTAGTCTCAATCTTCAAACAATAACATCTCTGGGTCTGAAACAAACCTTTAGTTGTAACCTTCCTATCATGTAGTGAGAGGCAGCAGGTCCATAACCTTTTCTCAAATGTACTTACTACCATAAGTGGTTTACCACAGTCTAAACATTTATTCTGCAATCCAATCTCAACATTTTTCTGCAATATACCCTTGGCACCAATTCACAAACCAAGATTATACTCAAAGTTGACATTTGGTCTGATTACAAGAAAATGATTTCAAATTATGTGTTGGAAATTCTACTTATTCTGGAGCAGAACAGGGTGGACTACAACTGAATAGGTAATTCTACCAAGACTGGAGCAGATTGGAGGTGGGCTACAACTTAATAGGTAATTCTACCAAGACTGGAGCAGATTGGGGGTGGGCTACAACTTGATAGGTAATTCTACCAAGACTGGAGCAGATTGGGGGTGGGCTACAACTTAATAGGTAATTCTACCAAGACTGGAGCAGATTGGGGGTGGGATACAACTTAATAGGTAATTCTACCAAGACTGGAGCAGATAGGAGGTGGGCTACAACTTAATAGGTAATTCTACCAAGACTGGAGCAGATTGGGGGGGCTACAACTTAATAGGTAATTCTACCAAGACTGGAGCAGATTGGGGGTGGGCTACAACTTAATAGGTAATTCTACCAAGACTGGAGCAGATTGGGGGTGGGCTACAACTTAATAGGTAATTCTACCAAGACTGGAGCAGATTGGGGGTGGGCTACAACTTAATAGGTAATTCTACCAAGACTGGAGCAGATTGGGGGTGGGCTACAACTTGATAGATAATTCTACCAAGACTGGAGCAGATTGGGGGTGGGCTACAACTACTACCAAGACTGGAGCAGATTGGGGGTGGGATACAACTTAATAGGTAATTCTACCAAGACTGGAGCAGATTGGGGGTGGGCTACAACTTAATAGGTAATTCTACCAAGACTGGAGCAGATTGGGGGTGGGCTACAACTTGATAGATAATTCTACCAAGACTGGAGCAGATTGGGGGTGGGATACAACTTAATAGGTAATTCTACCAAGACTGGAGCAGATTGGGGGAGGGCTACAACTTAATAGGTAATTCTACCAAGACTGGAGCAGATTGGGGGTGGGCTACAACTTAATAGGTAATTCTACCAAGACTGGAGCAGATTGGGGGTGGGCTACAACTTAATAGGTAATTCTACCAAGACTGGAGCAGATTGGGGGTGGGCTACAACTTGATAGATAATTCTACCAAGACTGGAGCATATTGGGGGTGGGATACAACTTAATAGGTAATTCTACCAAGACTGGAGCAGATTGGGGGAGCAGATTGGGGGTGGGCTACAACTTGATAGATAATTCTACCAAGACTGGAGCAGATTGGGGGTGGGCTACAACTTGATAGATAATTCTACCAAGACTGGAGCAGATTGGGGGTGGGCTACAACTTGATAGGTAATTCTACCAAGACTGGAGCAGATTGGGGGTGGGCTACAACTTGATAGGTAATTCTACCAAGACTGGAGCAGAACAGGGTGGACTACAACTGAATAGGTAATTCTACCAAGACTGGAGCAGATTGGGGGTGGGCTACAACTTGATAGGTAATTCTACCAAGACTGGAGCAGATTGGGGGTGGGCTACAACTTGATAGGTAATTCTACCAAGACTGGAGCAGATTGGGGGTGGGCTACAACTTAATAGGTAATTCTACCAAGACTGGAGCAGATTGGGGGTGGGCTACAACTTAATAGGTAACAACTTAATAGGTAATTCTACCCAGACTAGAGCAGATTGGGGGTGGGCTACAACTGAATAGGTAATTCTACCAAGACTGGAGCAGATTGGAGGTGGGCTACAACTTAATAGGTAATTCTACCAAGACTGGAGCAGATTGGAGGTGGGCTACAACTTAATAGATAATTCTACCAAGACTGGAGCAGATTGGGGGTGGGCTACAACTTAATAGGTAATTCTACCAAGACTGGAGCAGATTGGGGGTGGGCTACAACTTAATAGGTAATTCTACCAAGACTGGAGCAGATTGGGGGTGGGCTACAACTTGATAGGTAATTCTACCAAGACTGGAGCAGATTGGGGGTGGGCTACAACTTGATAGGTAATTCTACCAAGACTGGAGCAGATTGGGGGTGGGCTACAACTTAATAGGTAATTCTACCAAGACTGGAGCAGATTGGGGGTGGGCTACAACTTAATAGGTAATTCTACCAAGACTGGAGCAGATTGGGGGTGGGCTACAACTTAATAGGTAATTCTACCAAGACTGGAGCAGATTGGGGTGGGCTACAACTTGAATAGGTAATTCTACCAAGACTGGAGCAGATTGGGGGTGGGCTACAACTTAATAGGTAATTCTACCAAGACTGGAGCAGATTGGAGGTGGGCTACAACTTAATAGGTAATTCTACCAAGACTGGAGCAGAACAGGGTGGACTACAACTGAATAGGTAATTCTACCAAGACTGGAGCAGATTGGGGGTGGGCTACAACTGAATAGGTAATTCTACCAAGACTGGAGCAGATTGGAGGTGGGCTACAACTTAATAGGTAATTCTACCAAGACTGGAGCAGAACAGGGTGGACTACAACTGAATAGGTAATTCTACCAAGACTGGAGCAGATTGGGGGTGGGCTACAACTGAATAGGTAATTCTACCAAGACTGGAGCAGATTGGAGGTGGGCTACAACTTAATAGGTAATTCTACCAAGACTGGAGCAGAACAGGGTGGACTACAACTGAATAGGTAATTCTACCAAGACTGGAGCAGAACAGGGTGGACTACAACTGAATAGGTAATTCTACCAAGACTGGAGCAGATTGGGGGTGGGCTACAACTTAATAGGTAATTCTACCAAGACTGGAGCAGATTGGGGGTGGGCTACAACTTGATAGGTAATTCTACCAAGACTGGAGCAGATTGGGGGTGGGCTACAACTTGATAGGTAATTCTACCAAGACTGGAGCAGATTGGGGGTGGGCTACAACTTAATAGGTAATTCTACCCAGACTGGAGCAGATTGGGGGTGGGCTACAACTTAATAGGTAATTCTACCCAGACTAGAGCAGATTAGGGGGGGGGGAAGGGCTACAACTTAATAGATAATTCTACCCAGACTGGAGCAGATTGGGGGTTGGTTTTTTTACCAGACATAAGGCTATGGCCAGATTAAAATTGTAAATTAGGGCTGTACAAATGAAACCCTGGTTACTGTATATCTCAACATACCTCTAGTCTGAGCTGAGTTCAAAGTCACTGAGTCAGTAACAAACTACTGGTGTGACCTGAAGACATGTGACACAATGTAACAGAAAGACATTACAATCAATAGAAAAAGGATGTTTGATTTAGATATTATGAGGAAGAGTACACTACCTTGGCCTGCTCTTCAAATGTGTTGAAGCTATGGATGAGTGTCTCCACCTGTTGAAGTGTCTCTCCTGTGTCTGACATTGCTTTTTCCAGCTCCTCCATCCGTTGATCATAGCTGTACTGAAACTGAGGCAAAAACAATCCCGATGACACGGTGAGGAGGCCAAGAAATGTTAGGACAATCAGCTATATCCACACAAACTTTATTAAGTTCCCAAATCTAAAATTCAATTAAACTTTGAAATAAAACTAGAGTATCAATGAAACAGATACATGGTCCCTGAAAAAAAACTTTATTGGACATAAAAAGGACAATAATTCTATAATTAAGGTGTTACAGGCCATGAAATTAGTATACTGCATATTCTCTTAGTATGACCAATATATACACCAAGTTTCATGCAAGCAAAGTTATTCTCATAACACAAAATTGTAACAAAGGCAATAACTTTGTACTGAGGGGTCATGGGCTCTGATTTTGCAACACTTGCTTTTTGTATGACTGATGTATACATCACCTTTCAATATCCTAGTTTAATTGCCAGCAAAGTAATGCTTCAGACACAAAATCTTAACAAAGGGCAATAACTCTCTAATTAAGGGCTTGCATTGTAAACTATTGTAAATAGATATTGTCTTCGTATGATCCTTGTATCCACCAAGAATCATTATCTTCGTTTAAATAAAAGCAATTTAAAAGTTTGCTCTAGTCACAAAATTTTTACAAATGACAATAACTAAGTAATTAAAGGGTTGTGGGCATGGAATTTGGTGCACTGCACATTGTCTTTTGAATGATCAAAGCATAAACCAAGTTTCATTATCCTTATGTATATGGAAGCAAAGTTATGCTGCGGACACAAAACATTTAACCAAGGGCAGTAACTCTGTTACTGAGGAGTCAAGGGCACTGAATTTGGTACACTTTGTATGGCTAATGTATACACCAAGTTTCATAATCTTTGCCTAAATTTGCACAGAAGGATGGACAAGGTGGAGACTATATGCTGCTCACCCTTCCCTCCCATCCCACTTCAAATTGATCAATATGGATTTCTTGTGTATATTTCAGAATGCTAGAACTATAATCCAAAAAGCTTTCTTTTTTTCAACTTCACAAATACAGATCCACAACATATCAAATCAATATGTGGACCAGTGATCATTTTAATACAATGTATGAATTAAAAAGATTATTGAAGTTAATGTTATTTCATCACATCAAAAATTACTTTCTTGTAAAGTGAATGTAGTTAGAAATGTTCTTCAATTATTTGGAATTTCATAAATAATGAAATGGCATCACAACAACATAATATCTCATTTTCCATACATTATCCCAGTGCAATTTTTGGTTAGTTTTTAACTTTAATTTTTTCAAGTATGATATGTTGATTAAAATGTTCTTACCAGTTTGAATTCTTCTTCAAATTGTCGCAGCTGTAGTGACTGCTTGAGACGTTTTTCATGAACCTCCCAGAATCTCTCAAAATTTGATTTAGTCTCTTCTAGTTGCATCAGCAGTCTAGAAATAAAGTAAATAATTATAATCAAAATGTATTGATCCTAGCCAAAGTGTAAACAAAAATTTGTATACAAATAAAATAGCGATATGTCATACTATTGTCCTGATTCCAGAATCCAACCTTGAAGGAAAGGATTTTTATAAAGTCTAAGAATTGAGCTTCATTCAAAGTCTTAGCTAAAAGATGGAGCTTGATTAAGAAAAACTTAATGAAAGAAAGTGATCTAAACTCAAGTCTAAAACAAAAAAAAGTAAGCTCTTAAATATCAAAAGTGTAATATAAGAAACTGATCCAAATGTAAATAAGAGCTTGATGCAAAGTCTAACAAAGTAATGGCACTAATTATCCTGAACTCTAATCAAAGAAATGAAACAAGATTCAAATTTATTTCTAATTACAATTTAAATAAGAGGAATTAATGAGATAAATTAAATACAGCCGAAATGCAAAATTCTATTTACAATTCATCATCTGATCGCTGAGAGGCAATTTCACAAGACAAATGTAACAATCAAGCAACAGTTCTCTTTAATTATACCTCTCTAGATTGAGAACATGAGTTTGATGTATCAGAGGTGTGCGAGGGTTATCCCCCTTGATACAGCTCAGAATGGTCTTTCCGTGATCATCAGAGGACATTAAATCGTTTATTATTTCTTTTCGACCCATTATGTGGTCATGGATGAGTGTTTCTGTTCCTTTCACATCATTGGGAACCTCCATTTCCTGAAATTTCTTCACAAGGACAGCTATTGCCGTGGCTATTTTCTCACTGTTGGTGGAGAACTTCTCAACAGCCTATAAAGACAATTATAATTACATGTAAATCATCAAACCCAAGAAATTCCTCTTTTTGTCAAATTAATGAAAAAATATAAAATCAATCTTCTACTAGTTTTTATAGTTGTTTTATCAATTAATATCAAGAAGAAAACAGAAATGTGTTGTTATCAATGATTATAAAAACTGTTATTGTTGAAAATTATCTAAAATTCCTTACATTTTTTATGTGATTGTTTGATATGTTGTAAACTTTACAGGTCAATACTGTGTCATATTGTAATAGAGATTTTCTAAAATACATTAACACTCAATGTAAGGTAACAATATTAGTTTACAAATTGGGATCAGCAGAGTTATTTCCCTTGATTTTTTTTTTTATTATTATTGTATTGTCATTCAGACAGTGTTATGAGCAGACTTTGGCAGATTCTTATGACAGGCGGATTTTCTGTTAAAACCAATGAAATTTTTTTTAATATCTAATATGTAGAGGTTAAGCTGGCTTGTATTTTATACATGCAGGCCTTAATTAAATAGCACAGTACATCCATGAAAGTATGAAACTAATAAATTGATATTAACCATCACAGAAATTACTGACGTGGAGTTGAATTGTATCTGACACAAGTAAAGTTCCATTATGATATCAAACAAGAACAATCCAGCACAACCAACAAAGTTATTGATCCGACGTCATGGCAGACTAGCCACAGATTTTTACTACACCTCAGTTCTAGAAATCTAGTTAGTGCTGAGCTTCTTGAAATGATCAGAACCACTGATATGTCATCATAATGTCTACATTTATATTCTCACATTAAACAAATTATACATCATTATTGACTGGACTATGATTTTAATTTGTTGAAATATCATCCCGGCTCCAATTAAAATGTAAAATTTTAAATGATGAATTATTCTTGTTACTTCTATTTTCCCATAAATTTCAATTTTGGATGAATGAAAGTTTTATCACCTCATTTATTGTACAAACTCAGAGAGAGAGAGAGAATTTCACTCTCCATGGAAGACATCCAAATCACTAGCTGCTATTGATCTCTATGCACAACCGACACACTGCACCAGAAAACCAAGGCCTGACTATAAACAGCCTTACAACCACAATGAGTGATACTTCAAAAATGTATTTTACATTCATATTATCATTTGAACAACAAAGACAATAAAAGAATATATCATTTATCAGATTTACTTAATGCTATGTATCTATCTTCCAGTAAGCCCAGGGGACCAACACACAGGATCGGACTAAAAGTTGGGGAAGGGCAAGGGGGTTTGGTTGGTTTGTTTGTCAGGTTTTTCCATCTTTGTGACTCCTCCCATTCCTAGGTATTGTCTCATTCACAAAAGTCAGTGTTCTGACAACATTAGGGGGCGACCTGCAACCATTTGTAGCAGTGAACGTTTGATTATGCTAGTTTTAGCAGGTGGCTCTGGGGTCTAATACTGCTTTATTCTAACTCTAGCAGTGTGAAACATGTCCAGAAGTGGAAAGGAAGAATTGGGGGTCTACATAAATTAGGCACAGCCTAGGATGATTTTGAAGTCTATCAATATTGTAAAAATAATTGTATAGCCTAACACTATATACTAAAGAAGGATCTTTTGTATGCAAGAATGGACAGTCCCCACACGGGTCGAGGGGGAGTGGGTTTAATTTATATGGAACAGCAAATGGTACAGGTTGATTATTACCAGGAATGAAATTATTGCTTGGTAATATAGTATTAAACAATTCAACAAATATTAACAAAGGGCCAAAACTCTGTTTACAATATAGGACTATGCCATAGGATTTCAGTGTGTAATACTCTACAATTGCTAGGGGTGATACAAAGATGATCAAATTGTAAATCAAACCAAAGCAAGAAGCACTTACATATGCTCAGAAATGCGAAAATATTAATTTGTTTATGGACACACGATGCACGGCGCTGGAGAGAGGTGATCACAATAGGTCATCATGAGACTTTGTCTCAGGTAACCTAACAAGCCAATAACCATGATTGTAAACTCTAGTATGAAACTTAAAATCAGTACATGAAGAACAATACCTCAATTACTAATTTTAGCAGTTCCAGGTCATAGAATGCATGTTTGTGTGACATAACTGAAAATAATGATGGGAAAAGGGCCATAACTCTGTATATATAACAATAAGATAGTCTGATGTCTTATATATGAAAGACAAATTTATTTCAAAAAGTGTATAACTTACTGCTCGATGTTGGGTCCACTCATTGGCATCATACTCCAACTGACCTCCGACCTCTGTGGTCAGCTGACTGGGGTCAATGTATTCAAACATCTGGTTTGGGTCATTACACATCACAACCTGATCAAGTCAACCATCAAAAATTTATATATATATTTATCTCTACAACCAAAAGGTAACCAAGATTCATTATATGTAATATCATCAGGATATCTTTAACAACATACTCCTTTTCGATTGTCCTATAATAAGCCCATCCCTTGACTTGGAGTTATACGATGGAAAGTGTTTGTCCAATCTGCTTATTGAAAAGTTAATAAAAGTTACTTTTTATGGTCATCATATCTTACCATGTAAACTACCATTATGCTTTATGTTATACAGTATACAGTGACTTTGTTGTATGTTTAGATGTTTCTCCCTAAACTTAACTCATCATTCATGCAAAGTAGACATTGTAGCAAATGCATAAAATTGTTGCCGTCATAACTTTTAAAAATATGTCAATTTTTGAGAATTGGTTGATGAGAGTTTAATGAATGACAACGTCTCAAAACTTCTTTTTTCTAATTACAACATTAAACTGAGGCATACTTTTACATACATTTATAAATATATTTGCGATGTTTAACTTTTAACGATAGTAACACCTTAAGTGAAATTCCATTTCCTAGTGAGAGTTTAGGGACTCATCTGTACTGATGAAGTTATTCGCTGTTAATGGGAGCTGATATCACGAGAGCAGTGTTACATATCTTTACAGCAGTTTGTTGTCGTATATTTGAATTTATAAAACATTTCCAAGATGCAGGACACACAGAATTTTCCTGCCTTTTGAAATTGTTATTGGAAGAACAGCTATCACTGGAAACAATTTCTTATGTGTTAGAAGTAACACAAGAAAGTTCCAGTTATATTGAGAAACATCAAAATCAATTTCATTTTTTCAGAAATATAACATGATTGTCACCTATAAAATGGTAGCACTTGTGTCATTAATGGACTGAATAAATCCAACAATCTGAATTACAACGTCCATCTGGAACATTTTTTGAAGACAGATTAAAGAAATACCTCATTTTTCATGTAAATATTGCTGTAACCTTGTTTCACAAAACAATGTCAATGTTGTTCTATATCCATCACAAAACTTCAGGAATTTAGTGCATAACCCAAAATACCACTAAGACTTCAGGGACGATATATCAGTGTGTAGGACTTATACTGGTGAAGTATGATAAAGTGGAGCCAATGGTAAAGTGAACCATGGTTCATTTCACCATGAACCCATCCCGTAGGAGGACTATTACATATCATCAGGAGTCATTGAGGTAGGGGAACAGTCTTGCCCAAGACATAATCACCACAGCACAGCGATGATCCACTTGTCAGTTTCCTGGCAGAAATGATGTTACATCGACTGTGACATCAAAGCAGATGAGTGGCTGCCATACAATTAGCAACATGCTAATGAATAATTCTATAAATAGTATCACTCCAAATTGGCCCTTAAGGTTGTAATTGATGAAATCATAAAAAAAAGGCGATGATAAAATCAAGATGCGAATCCCAAAATGATTAAAGAAATCATTAGTTGACCGCCAGCAATGCCTAAAGGATGATATGGTTAAAAGTTTACATGATTTGGATGTGTCTAGAGTGTGTAGCCACCAAAAAAAGGAAATAAAATTCTTTTGCAGCAACTGCTTTTTCTATTCATCTTAATACTGCATGACCTTGACCTTTGACATTCAGATATAAAAATCCATCCAAATCAAGCATTATAGCTCTCTCAGCAGTGAAGCAGTAAGTTTGATTGAGAAAGGTTCCAAACTTCCTTCACACTTTTACTAACAGTGACCTTGACCTTTTATCTTCAGAAATAAGTACTTTAGTAATTTTCAGTAGAACAAGCTCAAGGGAACTCACTTTATGACACACAAATGTTGGTAAATAATGTCAAATGACATCAATACGTTATCCTAACATGTTGCCATCTTGAAATCAACCTGACATTTATATTTGAAATTCCGAAGTTAAATATCAAGGGAACATTTCTTTCAGAAAAATAAAAAGGATTTTATATGTGGGTTAGGTCATTACACATACAAAATCCTTGTGAAATAAGGTGTGTTACACACAAGTACGGAGATAATGTCTTCTTCAATTCAGATATAAGTGGTTACAAAGGCACTAAAACAGTATATTCCTAACATGTAGCCTTTCAGCTTCGTAACCAAGGGTAACTATGGAGATGCTATGGTACTGTTTCCATTACAATCAAGAAACAACGATAAACTACAACAAAGCCTTGAAATAGCAAAATCTTTTTAAACTTCACGACTTGAGATAGAAAAGATTGACTTTTGCCCTGAAGTGTTAAACAGATCCGTACTGAACAAACATAATTACGTTTTTGTGATCCTTGAAATCAAGCAGAAGTGGGAAGCTAAAAATTATTGTAATTGTTTTTGAATTTTTTTATTTCTATTTCTCTCTTTATTTGGGGAGGGGGGGGGAGTAAGTTTCTGCTTGCCTGACTCAAAACACTAAACATTGATCTGTGCGATAAATATCCTATTACAGAATATAGTGATATTAACGGACATTGAAATGATGTATGCTTGGTAAATTGTAGGCAGCTTTAACTAAATCATAGAATGTTGTCTCCTGTATCGATTTTTGTCATTATGGAAACAGTAGAGGAATTTTCTGGGAGGTTTAGATACATCGCATTATCTTCATTTTATTTAAAAGTTTCTTAAAACAATGGAAATTCAGAAAAATATGAATATGGACGGCAGCAGAATAAGTAGCCGAATTTGGCTGTGCATTCACATTATCAACAAAGCCAATAGGACATGGCCTTGGTGTTTTCAAAGGCCCTTAGTTCAACATGTTTTCTTATGTTTCTTTCCATACCCTTGTGACTTTAATTATTAAGAAGTTTTAAGTATATGAATTAGATTTCATTTTGATCTTTAAAGTCAAAATCAAAATGTTCAATAAAATTGATTTTACTTTTTTTTTATTTTGTCCTTTTGAATTCATTTTTCACTCCAATATTTAAAGATAAAATTCACATAGCATATTATGTTGATATTTTAAGGACAAAAGTATATGTACTATGCTGTAAATCATAACAAAAATGAGCTCAAGGTTTTTTTAATTTTTTTTTTTTTTTTTTTTTTTTTGAAGAAAGCTGGTCAAAACAACTGACCTTGAATTCAAGTTCCTCCTTAACAAATTTTGACCTCATGTCCGCAAATGCCCTCTGGAAAAAGCCGTGTGGTTGAAGCAAAAAAACAACCTGTAAATGCTTTGGGAAAAATTCCTGGAACATATAAATGAAAAAGATTTGTTTAATTCTATCAATAAATAAATAAAAACTGCTGACTAAGTTGAAACACTTGCTGGTACAATTTATATATTGCCAGTTACACCTGAGTTATTTCTTTGTATCTGAAATTAAGAAAATCTACTTAAAAAACTTTGGTCTATGATCTATACTGTATAAGATAAGAAAGATGATACTTACAGACATCTTTAACAGCAGGGATTTGACTGAACTCCATCCTGCCTGTCGTCTGTCCAGCACAATAACAAACCCTAACTCTGTCTCATGAAGTCTGAAATATTTAGAAGCAAAGTACAGAATACAGTCAAATATAAATAAAAATAAGAGTTGTGCTACTGAAACAGAAAATGAAGAAATGTTATAATCATGGTTTCATAAGTTAAACATATTTAGTAAGTAACTATCTCCGTGTCAACTGAATTGTGCATAACTTATGAGACATGGAGTATCCAAACTTCTCCACAGATTTGGAAATAAAGAGAAGACAGGTGACCAGGACAGGAGAAACACTTTGACTTAAACAGACCTTTCAGATATCTGAGTTCCAGATAACAAAGTTTGATTACATTCACGAATACAAAACTTTTTCATTTTCATGTTAAGGAATTTGTGAAAATTAAGATCTTCATTGATAATTCAAAGTGTTCTGTCTTCTGACAAAAAATTGGGAAAAAAAAGAAAAAATGAAGATAAAATCATAACTCTACAAAAAAAAGGTTACAGCATGCAGGCTCAATTTGAAACTCATCGCGATCACTAGAGTGTACGATGAAAAAGTGATTGCAGATGACAGAGAAGGCAACATGGTAAATATTGTATGCATGTATTGTATTAAGAAATAATGACTAGACAGATACAAATCTATAGTGCCCTCTGGAAACAATGACTCTTTGTATGACATCTCATGGCCCGAACACATGCAACAATATCTCTTTATCTTAGTACGCAGAAAATTACAGGGATTTGTGTAAGCATGTAACAGCCTATCTGCAAGTATTGACAAACATAGCTTCAGTGTAATTTGTCAATCGCTGGAAACCTTTGATGCAGGCAGTCGATCCAAAGGAATCTCAGTCACATTTGATATTCTGCTTAAGACAAGTAATTACTATATAAAATATAAAAAAAACTAGCAGATGAACCACAGCACACAGAAACTTGGTAGGATGTTGGTTCTCAGAGAGTTTTTCGATCTATAGATTTTTCTCGTCTGGATTTACTCATCAGATGCCCCCAGGCTAGTAATTTAAATCTGTAGCTACCAGCATATCTACATGAAGGAGAAATACAATCCGAAACAGGAAATAAAAACCCCACAGTATAAATTAGATTCAGAAGAAAAAGTTTTAACATTACACTATTATTATTATCTCAGATCAGTATACATAGTAGTACAATGTTTACAAGCTGGGTTTTTTTCCAAGCTTAGAATAGTAAGAGATCCCAATGAGTGCCCAATAACATATAGATTGGATTTTCCACAGATACTCTCGTGGGTTACCTCCCCTATCCAGAACACATTCCCTTAAATTCTGACTACTTGACCTTCAATAGAGGTAACAGAATAGCTTTATTTAGATGACAACACTGGCCTATCACATTCTCAATGGAGGTGCTGTGAACATACACATTTTGATGTAATCTTTGTTTAGAAATGTTGTATCAGATTTGTATCAACTCTAAGCCATTAGCTGTACATGCTATCGTGTACATGTATGTTTTTTGTCATTCAATATAGATTATATGAAATCATCAACATGCTGATCTGAAGAAGTTATAATAGACTTATTCAACAGTATGATAGTAAGTTTCTCTTTAAATGAAGGGAGATAACTCCACAATATTCATAAGTGGGAAACGTCCCGCTGTATTTCATATTTTTTTTTCGTTTACATTCATCAGCAAAATTTTGAAGTCCCCTGAATAATCAAATCCAAACAATAAGCTCAGATTCAATTGATATTACACAAAGAGAATCCAACAATATTCCAGCAGCTATATTGAGTTAGATTTTATCGTTGAAATTTCTGTCCATTTCATTTCCTGAAATTTTTGGACCTCATCGATAATGTGTCTAAAATTAAATACTGGAGCTTTTGTTATAATTTTATAAGACAACTTGGAAATTCTGATATTGTGAATCATTTGTGTTATCACTGAAGCATTAACTAATTATGGCAGAGTGGATGTCTTTTACACTAAAGTGGAAATACAAGACAAGTGTATTATGTCATTGTTATAGGATTAAGAAAAAACAAAATAAGTTAGGAAGATCAAATCTTTTATCATTTTTCATATGAAACAGAAATCTTTGAAAGATACTAATACTTCTTTATGAATTGAGTAATAAAATCTTTTATCATTTTTCATATAAAACAAAAAACCTTAGAGATACTAATACTTCTTTATGAATTGAGTAATAAAACGTCCCCCTCCCCGACAGATAATAAATGAATGCCTGACCAAATACAAGGGATCTAATATTGTTCAATACAGTTACAAAATCAATACATATAGTATTAGCTCTTCCTCAGTTGTCGTGGTCCTTTGTGTGTTTTGTAATAATTAATTACTTTTTCCATGCTGTCGGCAAATATTCACTGGCATGTGGGGACCAGATCTATTTAGGCATAAAACGTCTGATGAAATCGGTGTAGCAGAATGGAACAGGATGCTCTGTGTTATCTATATCAATCAATACTGACTGTGTATTTGTAGCTCCAGTTATGTTTATACATATTGAGGGGACAATTATAAGTAATAATTGTATCAAGTATGGTATGTTGATTATAATTATTTAATTAATCACTTAGTTAATTAAGGTTTTCTTTCTTCCTTTGCTGTCCGACCTGTGAACTGGGAGCTCGAGTCTCTTTAACGTGGGTTCTCTTTGTAGCCCATATGAAGCTGATGGTTTAATAAGTATTATACTCATTGAACAACATATGGAAGGACCATTGCAAGCCATGCACTGTAATTAAGGTCAATAGTCTTGCCCAAGGACAGAATCATGTCTGCGTGGACAGATTCATTTCTTATCTTCCTGAAAAACACATACCACTACAGGTAGTGAATATCATACCTCTACCACTGATGTAATAATAAAAAATACATTAAGTTTTACATATTTCATATAGCATATACATGCAGGGGCTAAAAACATATATATCACCACACAAAACTCCACATCAGCACATTAATGCATGTTTGTATATTACATGGCTATTTATCACAAAAATTGTAAGCGTTTTGTGTGTGCATTACATGTGAATGTGAATTCCTGCAAACATAGAATTTTACACTTGGAGGAAATTTACATATGATATACGGAATTGAGCCTTCTTCATAAATTTAACATACATGTATGAATCTGTGGCGTTTTACATACCAGTATAAAAATAAATATGAAATATGCAAATTTGGGTAATAGCAGTGTCAACAGTAAATTGCCTATTGAAATCGTGAAATTAACCTCCCACTGAAATTAACATGTTAACAGTATACAGGTATGTACTCATTACATGTAAATGTGTGTTGTGTAAATCATATTTTTGTTAATGTGAATTACAAGGAGCATTACACAAGAGTACATTGTGTGAGTGCTCAATTAGTAACATGTGCACATTTATATTACACATGAGTGCATTATACATATGTGTGAAATAATTAGCCATGAGTTAGCAATTATACACATGTGTATCTATATAACCAGTGTATCTATGTACTGACAACAATGCAATGTGTTTAAGTAAAATTCCGTTGAGAAATCTATAACAGAGACTCTAGAACAACACTGATTGTGTCGGAGACAGAAAACCAACAACAACAGGCAGGCTATACATCATTATGTACAGAGAGATCTCTAACCCTTCTCTCAATTTCACAGAAACAAAACACAGATATTTCACAACATAACATTAGGGAGAGGGATCCATTAAGTCTGTTGGCAATTGACGGACTGTACGTCGACGAAGCATCATTATAACTGTGTAATGATAGCTGTAAGTAAGGTCAATACGTTCCTAACAATACCAGACCGCCATTGTTATAGAAATCATGCAAAGCACTGAAACATGTTGTTTTGTGAATGTGTTTGTATATATAGTCTATCCAATATGATTAAACCATGGCTGAGGTGATAAATGTCACTTTGATACTTTCATACAAATCTGAATAACCAGAACAGGTTGAGAACACATCCGGTGTCAGGAGGGGATGGCAGAGAAAAAAGTCAACGTAACAGATATATGTTTGAAGTCTTTCAATTTATTTGATAATATAATCGATCTACAATAAATAAAAGTGTCAATTTCGGGGATAAAAACAATTAACGGCAATCAAATGTGTTTTATTTTAGATATAATGTATATACATTTGTGTATGAGTTCAAATGGATATTAAACGTTGATGGGTTGATCTGAGATGTTGAAGGGAAATATTGGGTTGTCATATCTTTTTAAAATGGAGCTAAAACAAAAAATACATCAATCTAACCACTGTATTTATCCGGCATCAAGCTTAGGTTTGGTATTAAGCCTATCTGTGTATTCAACATTGCACCCAGTGCTATACAATGATCCTGTAATAAGCCCATCCCAAGACAGAAATGGGAGGTTATTCTAAAAGTACTCTAGAAACAAGACTAATCTGGATAAACGCCATATACTTCAATCTGCTCTGTATAAATACAATGCCATAAAGTTTAATTTTATTGTCTTGTAAGTTGACATTCATCTTTATGGTCCCTCCCTCTACACACACCTCCCCCCACCACTTCCCTACACACTTCCATAGCTTTTTGCAGGTTACGTACAGTACCAGGTAATTTAAAATTGAATTGAAGCAAGCATTCCTTAATTTGAATCCTAATAAGGGGTTTAATATCAAAGTCATATAAACAGATTCAGTCAAACAAATATGTTGGTGTGCCATACATGTTAGCTCAGTCAGTTTGAGCAATGGTTTACGTAACCTCTGGTGAAGATTTTGGGTTTGTGATCCAATGTGCTCAGTTAATTGTGTACTTAAGCAATTGCTCTGAACAGCTTGTGGTTCGTCTTCCATATGTTGTTCAGTGAAGTAGTCATCAGGTTCTCGAGACCCTGTCTAAAATGACCCTGGCTGTTCATGCGGTAATGAACCCAACAAAACAAAATTGGCAAACAAAGATATTATACATATCAAAATAGTAGGAAGAGCACAACAGCTGAGGCCAGGTATACTAATACTGTGACTGCCGACATGTTTCGGCCTGCTAGATATTATACAGAAAGATGTGGAAAAAACAATGAAAAAGTAAAGATATTATACAGAAAGATGTGGAAAAAACAATGAAAAAGTAAAGATATTAGACAGAAAGATGTGGAAAAAACAATGAAAAAGTAAAGATATTATACAGAAAGATGTGGAAAAAACAATGAAAAAGTAAAGATATTATACAGAAAGATGTGGAAAAAACAATGAAAAAGTAAAGATATTATACAGAAAGATGTGGAAAAAACAATGAAAAAGTAAAGATATTATACAGAAAGATGTGGAAAAAACAATGAAAAAGTAAAGATATTATACAGAAAGATGTGGAAAAAACAATGAAAAAGTAAAGATATTATAAAAAACAGAAAGATGTGGAAAAAACAATGAAAAAGTAAAGATATTATACAGAAAGATGTGGAAAAAACAATGAAAAAGTAAAGATATTATACAGAAAGATGTGGAAAAAACAATGAAAAAGTAAAGATATTATACAGAAAGATGTGGAAAAAACAATGAAAAAGTAAAGATATTATACAGAAAGATGTGGAAAAAACAATGAAAAAGTAAAGATATTATACAGAAAGATGTGGAAAAAACAATGAAAAAGTAAAGATATTAGACAGAAAGATGTGGAAAAAACAATGAAAAAGTAAAGATATTATGAAAAAGTAAAGATATTATACAGAAAGATGTGGAAAAAACAATGAAAAAGATGTGGAAAAAACAATGAAAAAGTAAAGATATTATACAGAAAGATGTGGAAAAAACAATGAAAAAGTAAAGATATTATACAGAAAGATGTGGAAAAAACAATGAAAAAGTAAAGATATTATACAGAAAGATGTGGAAAAAACAATGAAAAAGATATTATACAGAAAGATGTGGAAAAAACAATGAAAAAGTAAAGATATTACACAGAAAGATGTGGAAAAAACAATGAAAAAGTAAAGATATTACACAGAAAGATGTGGAAAAAACAATGAAAAAGTAAAGATATTATACAGAAAGATGTGGAAAAAACAATGAAAAAGTAAAGATATTATACAGAAAGATGTGGAAAAAACGATGAAAAAGTAAAGATATTATACAGAAAGATGTGGAAAAAACGATGAAAAAGTAAAGATATTATACAGAAAGATGTGGAAAAAACAATGAAAAAGTAAAGATATTATACAGAAAGATGTGGAAAAAACAATGAAAAAGTAAAGATATTATACAGAAAGATGTGGAAAAAACAATGAAAAAGTAAAGATATTATACAGAAAGATGTGGAAAAAACAATGAAAATATAAAGGACTATTATTTTACTTACGGTGGGATACAGCAGAGGTAGTGAACTATCTTCTTGTAGTCAGTGTCTGTTATATCAGGCTGCTGAGGGTTTTCAGGAAACGTCATGATGGGGGCCCCATTTTTTGCCTTTCCACCTGTAAGTTATACATATATTTCTATGTAAGCACACCAATACCATTTTATCTCTTCTGCTACTTGGTGTAAAATAACTTAATTTTCTTTTAGTCTAGAAAACCTTTTAAGACACGTTCACAATTTTTGGCCAGATATTTTTTAATGAGGATATATTGCCTCCAGGAGCTCCTGCAGGCAACATATTAAGTTGTAAATGAAAGTTCAAGACATCGACAAGTATTCTGAGCATCAACTTGAAACAGAAAGTAAAGCTTCAAGCTCCCATCTCAAACATAATGTATGTACAAGTATATGTAATATTTTCAAAATATTGAATAGGATATTGTTTAAACTAATTGACCTCACCTTAGTACATGGTCTGTCTAATTGGCATGTTGGAGTTTCTTGATGAAAATTAATAGAACAAGATTGGGAAGGGAATTAACTCTTGTAGATCACGAGAGATAATTGTTCATTAGGTCTCTTCAAAAAGAAATATCTCGAGAGAATTTATAGAAACGTGTCAGAATTCAATTCTACATCATATCATTGGCTGCATTCTACACTGCTAATGAGAATTTCAACATTATAAAGTGATATATTTTGGTTGAGTTACAGATTGGGATGCTCCAGTGTAGTTGCAATTACAGTGTTTCAATGTTATTCTTGTAACAGTTACAACTTGCTGTTTTTTATTTTAATTTTGTTTGTGGCCATCATTATGGTAACACAGTCTGCCAGGTGAGACTTTTAATACTGTGAATAATTTAGGGAGGGGATGATGGGGTTGGGGGGAGAGGGCTGGGAAGAGATGTACATGTATAGTAAAGGGTTTTAATTTTGACAGACTTGTAGCAAACCTTGAGGCTGATGGTTAGATCCAAGTTGTTTAAAGTAAATGACACAAATATCTATATATACACAGGTACAGGTAAAATGTTATTGTTGTATCGATTTGCTGCTATGGATGGCATTGATATAAATGCATAGGAGAATTAAAACAAGACCATGCGGTGTTTGTGTAAAAAGGTCAGTAAAGACAATTTGTCTCTTGAAAGATCAGATATTAGTCAATGCATATTGGAGCTATTTCATTGAGAACACTATTGATCAGATTCTATCATACTTGCTGAATATTCACTGCTTTCACTGACAGAGTTCCATGTGGCATGCACACGTATGCACCAATCTTCTCCACCAGTATGTATGATGGGACATGTTCCCTTAAAACATTTATCTTCTAGTCAGTATTGTAATGTATTTACAAACCCCTGGCTCAATTTCAAGTTTGAAGTCAGGGTAATATGCACAGGGGTTTAATTTGGTCTAGTGTGTTCTATTGCAGGATGACTGATTGATATGTACATCAGTTGCTTGTACAGGGCTCTACAGTGTAATTTGCCAGGAATATATTTCAAACATGGCTATAAATTCTCCACTAGATATAAATATCTGTGATAGCAAATTTAGGTCTAGATTCTTAATATAAGTGAATACATTTTACAGGTAAATTTGTAAACATTTTTTTGTGAGTCAATATAATGCTCCAGGTATGTTTGCTACCTTGACCTTTCACCTTTATGTAATAGCTTTTTCAGGAAGTCTTCATCAGGTGACACGGAGCACAAGATCTAGTTTGAACTTCCATCCTCATACTGCTGTGACACGAGAAAGTGTGGTCCACATTGTATTTCCTTATAATTCTCAAACATAAGGAAATGAGATCTAGAGAAATATCACACTCTTTCAACAACAGGACCAGCCAAGAGACCTTATGACTTCATTTAGTCCTGGGAAGTCAACAGATGCAATTTTGTGATTAGTGTTGATCCCCATTTTCCATTCTGCTACAGGAATGATAAGTCACCATCCAGAAATCAAGGAAATGACCTTGACCTTTGTTCCAAAACTGATATATATTTTACATGCAAACTAATTTCAAGCACTAATATTTGAACATGATACAAAATGAAAGTATAATGATAGCTAGTAGTGATGGACAGACAATGGGATGAACAGACGGACAGACAATAAGTAATGCTTATTTTGTCCCTTCTTACTCCCACATGTATGAGATAAACCATAATTATAATCCTTTTTAGGATTTAAATCATGCCGTCCCACCCCAACAAGCTCCTACATTATTTTATACAGTCAAGGCATTTAACCAATACTTCCCAATTCAAACTCTTACAACCCTTTTCATCCATTTACCCCGTTCATTACAGCGCTACATACCTGATACAAAGGCAAACTTGGCCTGTAGCATCTGAGCCACATCGAGGACACTGTACGGACAAACGACCTCCACCATGGTTTCCTCACATTCTGAAAGTACACAGACAAAAACATTCAATGATTAATTATTCATACACTTGGTTGTAACATATCCTTTCACCCAAGAGAGATCAGTCCAACTAACCTGCTTTTACAGATTGAAAACAATATTACTGCAGAGTATGTAATTTGTAACATGATCAGTCCAACTCGGATATCACTACGGTAACTGTCAAACAACATTTTGTCAATAAAATTTGACATGCAAAAAGTTGACAAAAATTATCATTACGGTAAATGTTTGACACCTTTTCTCCAAGTAATATGACACAAAAAGACTGAGAATACTACAGTAAACATCATTAAACTTGTGTTGATGTGATCACTACGGTAAATATTCAACAATATTTTACCATTTCATCACTACAGTAGATATCATACAAGATATGTCCATTTGATCAATACGGTAAATATCCAACAATATTTTACCATTTGATCACTACGGTAAATATCCTGCAAGATATGTCCATTTGATCACTACAGTAGATATCCTACAATGTATGTCCATTTGATCACTACGGTAAATATCATACAAATTTTGTCCGTATGATCGCTATGGTAAATACCATACAAATTTTGTCCATATGATCGCTATCGTAAATGTCTGATAATATCACCCTTAACAACAAGCAAGTAAATCATTAAAGACCTTCATTTTTTTAATAAATCTATTGATGAAATATTGTAGATAACAAATCAGAATATTATCAGTTTCTTTAAAATAAATAGATCAGAAAGTTTTGAAACTGATTGTATCATGTATTGAAAAGATTCATTTTGATTGACACTCAGCTGCAGGATCAAAATCCTATTTTAGTAGAACTTGTTGCAGATCATTCAACTGTCACCGACATCTCACATGTGAGCTGTATACAATCTACTCCAGTATTCCCTGACCACAGACCCAATGTTTTATCACCAAACAAACCCACGCCCACATAGATATCCTTCATTCATCTGGTAATAATTTGATACTAATGCTGAAAATATCACAAATGTTGTTAGAACAAAATGATAATTGAATGTTATTATAATGACAATAATTTAATCACAGACAAATTGTTACTAATTTATATAAAGATAACATTGATGAAAAATTTGGTTTTATTAATATTAAAATACAAAACATGAAGGCCTATAAATCTTCATCTTTTTTTATCTTATCAATTTTATTTATCAAGTGTTCTCTTTATTTATTGAAAGAATGGATAATCTTTCTTAATTATGGAGAGGAAAGAAAGTGGGCCAAACGCATAAAAGATGGAATAAAAAATCATTCTGAGAAAATGTAACGAAGTTTTCAAAAGTACATATGTTTTAAAAACACAGATTATATAAATAGTATATGTACACATATCAGTAAATATTCTAGTTTTTGGATTTAATAGCTATAACATGTATCAGATGAATACAATTTCCATCACTGTAAATTGTTCAGATTATCAACTAAATCTTTTTCATTGTATAAGTATATAATTCTTGTTTCATGGCAGCATATTCTTCAATCGACTGGAAAACCTAATCACTTAATTAATCTAAGTATCTAAATGTACTTATGAATCAATATTATGACATTTAAGATAAACACATTCCTACATCTGTTCTTAAACTCTAGCCATTGTTTAGTATGCTAGACATCATACCCAGTAATAAAAATCTTTCACATTGAGGTCATTACATTCAAATGAAATCCTACAAACCACCTACATTGTAGACAACCAGCTAAAAAATGTGTGATGATAACCTAAAATATTCACGTTTTTAAACAGTGTGAATAAAGGGACATGGAAGGAGTCTTTTAAATGCATTTCAATCAGTTGTAATAACATGAATTGTATAGTAGATAAATCAATGCTGAAACACAGATGTTACCTATCTGTTGATACGGTATTGAATCATGCATACCAATGTACATGTATGTCTACAACTTCAACATTTTGTATTCATGCACACAAACCAAATCTGAACATAGTCAGAAAATGTATAGGCAATCTCAACCCCAAGGAAAGATTATTGAGTATGCAAACACTCAGCAAGCCTCATGTTTGACATTTTCAAAGAATCTTTTTCCTCTCAGTGAGATCCTCTGATCACTTTCTGTTTAAATCTTTACTCTCAAATCCAGGTGGCTTATTCAGCTATTACCATATAAACAACATGAAGTCTAAGTTTGGCAATAAGCCCACATATGTTGACCAGCTCTATTTTGTGTTGCTCTTTTAGGTATCCCTTTTGAGATCCTGTTATAAAACCCAATGTACTGGTAATATACACAATCCATTATATATAAACTGTATTTGATTGGAAATGAGTACCCTTGCTTGCTGAGTCAGCTGATCATGTATAGAACAGTACAATACATTTGTATTGTTAAGATTAATTTTGTCTTCAATTTTAAGTTAATCTTCATAAGTGTACAGACTATTTGACCAGCTCTATTTTGTGTTTCAGTATCCAGACCTGTTATAAAACCCAATGTAGGTAATATACACAATCCATTACTGCTGTCTTTGATAGAGTTGGTGCTGCTGACCACTCTAAAGGGTACGGCAATCAAAAAGCATCGTTACAGCTAAATAAAATTAAACTGGCTTTAAGTGTCTTTTTACTGCGTAACTTTAAACACCTTTCATCTACAGGAGAGCACAGGTCATACTTTCATCTTCAGGTTGTGAGATCATCCCTTTAAGGTCTGATGCATTCATCTAAATGCTAATTTTAGACTTCAGTCAAGTCCCTAGGATTTTTGTTTTATCTTAGAGTTACTCCCCTTGTTGAAATTGACAATGCATATTCATATTTTCATTACAGCCATTTCGGTCAATAAGAAAGACAAATTTTACTAAAGGCTGATAAAAATCTGTCAAGAAATGAAGTTCCTAAAGAGTCTTAACAAGGATTAATGTTACCTAGGTTAGAAAACATCACGAAGTCTGATATTTGATGTGATTTGATAATTAACGTAATTTGTACTATACATACACATGTGTGAGAATGTCATCAATTTTCACATTACTTGTGTAAATCAGCATGTCTCCCACACATTCAGGAACATAAAACAGATAATCACACATATATACTGTATTTTCCTGATTATAAGCTGCACCTTTTTCCCGTCTGAGTCAGGCATGTGGCTTCTGACCAGTGCGGCATAAATAAGGACATAAAAAAGTCGACAGTCAGAAAAATAACCCGAGGAAGTGTATCAGTACACCAGTACAACACATTATGGAGAGTTTTTTTTACAAATAACTACCAATCACATGTTTGTGACTAAAACAGATCATCTTGAACCATCATTTGCAATCATATACAGGATGATTTGAATATTGAAATGAAAATAATATTCTCATGGATTCAATTAATTACACCTTTTAATATGAATCACAATAATATCTTCTGCACTTTTGTGTTTAATTCGAAGACATAGCCAAAGTTTACAATGGCATATTGCATCCTGGGATTCATAGGTCAGCAAATTATAGGTCAAATTCTAAAATGACCACGATGCTTGTTTACATTATGAATGGCTTCATGTAACTTACAAGAAGAAATGAAATGGGACTATAAGAGTTTAGTCAGTATTCAAGGGCCTTCGTTAATATTTAATAATACAGATGACAATGGAGAGATCATTTAGTCAACCGTAGGTAACGTCAGGCCCTATATCTGTCAAAAAGAATATTAAGCCAAACAAGTTTTGATATTTTGGTATGTTATGATTTTTGAAATACATCAATTAAATAAAGGATTATCTGTGTATATTTCACTAGCAAACTTTGTTAAATATTTCACTGACGATCTCGATAAATTGCCCACCAAAATATATCTCAAAAAAACAAAGGTCAACGTAACTAATACCACTTTGTAAGAAAGGATGCAGCTTATCTGTGGATAAAATTTTTTTAAATGCTAATGCTGCGGCCTATATACTGGGAAAATATGGTTGTTATCTTCACAGGGGCTAATTAAATCCCCTAGAGATCTACTGTTCCAGTGGTTTTGTCATTTTACTACAATTTTTCAAAAAAATGATTATTTATACTTTAATTCAGCCTTAAATAAAAACTAACAATATTATGACAAGACAACTTACTTGAGTGGTTTCTATTCCCAAAAAGTTGAACTTTAAATCCAACAAATCCGAGGACGTCCTCAGTACAGAAATGTCTTAACAGTGCCAAACACATTGTTTCTGTTTAATGTAACTGTTTACACTAGGACAACACCTCTATACAATTCTTGTTAATAAGATAATTTTACACTGTTCCTTTTTGACCACACCTGACTATAGTGCATGATGTACCTTTAAAAATGTTTTGTAGTCTATTTCTTGAAAATAAATATGATTTATAAATATTTTCGATCTATCAAATTAGATCCTGGAGTTCCTAGTTGAAGTCTGTGTACATTCTCTTTAATATTTAAATAAAGGAACCATCATATTACAATGATGTTACATAATCTCTTTTGTTTGTTCTGGTAGAGTTTAAAATTTTCTGCTTTCATCAATTTTTGATGAAGGGTTGTCATTTTGGCATAATATGAAAATAAAAACATGATGAAACAAGTTCTGAAATCTCAATCCTGTGCTCTAAGGATGCAACACATTACACAAAGTCATGCATTTATTGTAGATAAACACTGACTTCCTGCTGAGCTTCAACACTTGTTCAGTCCATCCTCATTAATTTTTCACCACTTTCCATCGTTTATTTTAAATTCTATGACAGTTACAAGCAAATGGCTTTTCCAATATTCAAAAATTGATGATTATTCATATCCTCTTAAATTAAACATTCTCGTTCTTGGTGATGTTTTCTTTTTAGATCTTGATCTCGCTGACGTTTTGTTTTGTGATCTTGATCCCAACAATGGTACAAGCTCTTTCAAAGTTCTTGTTACACAGTTTGAAAGTTTGCCATTTCATAATCTAAGTTTCCTTGTTACATTTGTTATGCCATATATCTGTAAGTTCTGTCTTGCATGTATATAACACGTGCCTACCACAATGAAATATCCCGATTTTGTAATACAAAAAAAATAAATTATACATTTATACATGAAACATCCTGAAGAGTCAATCCATATGTTTTTATCATTTCTGTAAAAATATGTCTGCTCCAACACGATTTTTCAGCTGAGATCTAAATCACACTCCAAAATTTATCCACAATGTAGAAAAATCATAAACACCTGGGACAATTAAAGCGTATAACTTCTAGCTGTCACGGACATTTGAATTCAGATCGAGGACAGAAATTCAGTGTCGAATTGTAATAACAAATCTAGAGTAACAGCTGGGTGAATAAGTTTGTGAGGTAAGTTATAGTTACCGTTTTACACTGATTACTGCAAGCTGTCCAGTCACTATAAATAACACACAACAATGTAAATATCTCCTGTCACAAACACCTTCAATTCAGTTGCTTAGCAACCCTTTTGTAAAGACAAAAATTCTATGCGTTATGAAATTTCCATCTATATATATTAGTGAACCTTTCTATTCTGACTTACTGTAGGACATCACACATTGGTCTGAGTAGACAGGTTGTCAATGTATACAGGTGGAAGACAAAGGTCTGAATACACAGGTACAGGTCTTATAATGGTGGACTAGTCAGGATGTCAAATTATACAGGGTTCATATAACATAGGATTCAAATTAACTGATACCGTTTCTTGAGGTTACAAAGACACGTATTGTGGAAGAAGCATTAAGTGAAACACTTTTTTCTGAAATCTGTGAAAGGGTGACATGACTAAAGGAATTTTAGAAATTATTTGTTTGTTTGCAAGGTTTGGATTGTCCTGTCAACAGCATGCTGAGTCATTTTGAGGTCAGATTTCCTTGCAGCAACTGGTAGCTACCTCATTGTGAAAAATATGAGAGGCCTGCATGCCATCATGGTCAGCTATTGGGTTACAGGTTGCTTTGATTTTTTCTTATTTTTTTTTGTAATTTTACCATTATTTTACAATTATTTTCTGCAATTTTTCATTTTTTGTATAATACATAAATCTGAAAGTCTGTTTTCCAGTGTTGTTTCTTTCTGATGTAAAATAAAAAATTATATTACAAGAGTTTCAAAATTCTTAAAATACAACAGTCCAGATAATTATGTTCAAATAGACAGCAAATTTGACTATAAAAGTTTGGAAAGTGTCTATTGAGTTAAATCAGATGAAGTTGTCAGTATCTTATATAGAAATACATGACAAGAGTTATTGTGTCCCTCGAAATCCACAGATGGAGACTAAGCAGACGGCATTTTATGTAAATAAACGTGAAATTTATACTAAACATCCTCCATGTGAGATGTATATCTGCCATTACTATTTCGGCAGACCTTTACAGAATCAATATAGATACACCAGCAACTGTAGGCAATTTACCAAGTTTTATATTCGCTTAGTCAGTGGAGACTTCATAATCCTCACAAACTCATTTCTCTTGAAATGTTACATAATTCTGAATGGATAAGATGAAGTCTAGTCTTTAAACTGACAAGTCCAAGTATTTTCCGACAATAAGCCCACACCCAAGGGACCAACACATTACCTCTAACTTGTAGTCAGAGGGTGGGCTTATTACTTAACAATAAAATGTCATTTCTTGTAACTTCTTTAGAACTGCAATAAATATGGGTGGGCTTATCATCAGGCATGGTCTTATTACTGGATAAATACAGTGCCATTAACTGCCATAAATTATGACGGATCAATTCAATTCCTATATACTTATAAGCCCTATAATTAGATCTGCCACTGAACACAGTATATATTATTGCATTTGAAATAAATACTTGACTGCTTCAGGACAAAAACACATAATTGACATTTCTGCCAAAGACAAACACATCTCATTCTATATATAATAGTTCTTCTGTATTTAATGGCCTTGCTGCCATATCAAAAGGAAGACACTAGCTGTAATTGGAAAGAGGGAAGATTCATGAATTTCCGATACTAATCCATTTGGATATAATTTGAATGGTGTTGTATGAAGTTAAACTCAATCACATACTGGCTCCAACTTTATTAACAGCCATCCCATCAAATGATGTTTTGTCAGGTTCGTACCTAACTGTGATAGAGCGAGTCATATTTTATGGAGCAAGAGATCCCAGAGGGATCTTGATGCCCACCATTGTTTGATCTTTATTTGATCTTTGAAAAATTGGATTTTTCACTTCTTTTCTCTTCTCTGTTTTTGGTCCTTATGATAAGACATTTGAACATTCCTTTGCAGAAATAGCAATGATAGTCTTTACCTGCCAAATACAAAATGGCCGTCTGGAAGCTAAATTGTTTCTTCTGATTAGTCCCAAAATCAAACAGGGAGACCAAAGAGAACATTCACATGAAATTTAAGAGATATTCATTCAGTGCTTGTTAAGAAATAGGGATAATAATCTTTACTAAGCAAAATCCAAGATGGATGCCTGTCGGCCATTTTTATTTTTCTGATTAGTCCCACACTCAAACAGGCACAACAGAAGACCAAACGAAACCTATACATAAAATTTGAGAAAGATCTATACAATAGTTCTCAAGAAAAAGTGATAACAAACTTTCAAAGTCAAAATCCAAGATGGCAGCCTTTTGGCCATTTTGTTTTTCTAATCAGACCCAAAATCAAATTGGCATAACTAGGGACCAAGGAGAACCCACATGTGAAATTATTTTAAAACAAAAAAAAAAACATGCAGTATTTCTCAAGAAATCAATTTGAGAAAGATCTCTCGATTACTTCTGAAATCATACAGGCATAATTAGGGACAAAACAGAACATGCATATTAAATTTAAGAAAGATCCATTAAGTACTTCTCAAGAAATAGCAATAACAAACTTTCAATGTTAAAATAAAAGATGGCTGCCTTTCAGCAATTTCGTTTTCCTGATCAGTATCAGTCCCAAAATTACATGTGCACAACTAAAGACCAAGGGAAACCTATATTTGAAATCTGAGAAAGATCCATCCAGCGCATTTCAAGAAATAGCAAAACGAAACTTCAAATGCAGAGTAATTTGAATAGACCACCTTCTGATGATGGTGCCTGATGATAGACGGTGCCTGTTGCAGGTAGTGCCTGATGGCAGATGTTGCCTGATGACAGAGGGTGCCTGATGACAGACAGTTGCCTGATGGCAGATGTCTGATGGCAGATGGTCTCTGATGACAAGTGATTTTTATCTACAAGCAGACAATACTATATAAATATGTTAAAACCAGTGAATTTCCTGACTACATTAATTCTAAAAATGTAGATATATACAGGCACTAAGAATTTCATACCATAAAGTAATTATGTGTACACACACCTGCAGATACAGGTATTTACATTCTAGTACCTGTTTTCAACAGGTAATGCAAGAGGATAAGAAAAAGTATTCAATTATATGTATACCATGATAATGATCAGAGAACAACACAAAGTCATGTGTCTGTCTTCTTGTTCTAAAGCTGTACCAAATACACTGATAACAAACGTTTAGGTAACATATGTATGCAGTCTCATGTTCAGTTTTATAAATCAAACCAGTGGTACTACATATTGTTGTCAGGTCAGTATGACCGAGATATGTTATACAACAGTGTACATCAACACACCACTACCATATACAGTAGAACAACTTCCATATCATATCAGCTTTAATGAAGGGAAGGTAATTAGGGGGATGGGAATTTAGTGGAGGGAGGTGGGGAGAAGGGATGGGGGCATTGATGGGCAGTGGACAAGGGATTGGGAAATAAATTTTAAAGACTTTTGAAAATCAGAAATCTTCCCCCACTAATGTGACACTACTATTTGACATCCTAGTAAAACACTATATAACTGGTATTATAAATTTTGTTTGCTTTTCTTCAAACTACACCAGGAACCTACAGATAAATGTCTAAATATCACGGGCCATTAAACCAGGAAGTTTAGGTCATGTATACTACAGGTATACCATAAAGTTTTAGTCACTTTTATAGGTATTACATGTACATAAATATCTACCTGTAGGTTTTTATCTTATTATTATTGGTAGTAAATATACAAATGTGTGATACTACATGTTTGAAAGTTAAAGCAATAAGATTCAACCAATAGAATCTTCAAGATTTTTACCTGAGTACACCTGAATATACCTTGAGGTACATAAGGTATATATATTACTTATACATATATATTGATCGCAACAAAATCAATCATCATATAAGTATTATTATACCTACCCTTAAACTCTTCACTCAGCATGGTGAATTTTCAGCAGGACGTTTAAAATCTCTGGAAAATACTATTCCTTGACTTTGTGATACATTATTTGAGTGACCTGTCTTCTCCGACTTCTTACTTAATATGTGAGTAAGTAAAATCCTCATATGATGTATATTAAGTACATACACAAGTGTTGAAATGTACGACCTATATTTAAATCTTTGTCACCTTAACGCTTGAACCTGAATCAAGCTACATATATCCAATACACTTTGAACACTTACTGAAGCATATCTTATATGGGTATAAAAGTTCCAGTCTAGATATATATAGCTGTAATAAAGACGTCAGCTGACACAAACACATGACTCTACCCTGTTTCTAAATTTACACACCTGGAAATTTTCGACGGGACCATTAATTAAATACCCTTACAGAGTATTCACTGTTGTAGAATACACTGATATTTATCAAATCATTTGATGAGGTAATTAAAAATTGTATACAAATTAAATGTATTGTTCTTTTAACTTTCAAAAATCTAAAGCAGTGTACATGCATGAACAAAACTAAATGCAATTTAGTTAGGAAGAGAAATTTCCACTACCATTAGAAATTAAATCAAAGTTTAAACTTCCTTAAAAATTCCCAGATTTACTTTTACTTCATTTTTTAATGAAATTAGCTTGAAAATATTCATGAAGACACTGAAAAAAATGTGTGATATATATATCCATCAAGAAAAGACGTTGAAATATTGGGAATTTTGAGATAACATGAAATATTCGTAGAATCAAACATCATAAGTGATTATATGTGAACAAGTGATCAGGTCAGAACTATTACATTTTCTTTTAAAGAAATCGCAACAAATTTTTACTGAATTAAATATACAACGTATGCTAGTACATAGCACACAGAGAGGGGTCTTGAAGGCCAGGGAATTTTGAAATGATGTTTGTTTGTTACATTTTTTACTTCGTGAACAACCAGGGACATATTGAATTGAAGTAGCTGGTGGAGGCTCCCTCACTAACAACTTTCAGGTGCCCCATCACATTTTGTCCAGAGCAATTAGGATAAAGTGTGACTTGCTGAATTCAAGGACCAGACCACTTCAACACAGACAGATTCATTTCTGAGAAACACAAACCGCCATAGGTAGCAGGCGTCATACCACAAATCTTCACGAGGTTTTGTGAATGCTGTAATAAAATGAGCTGTACGTCCTATGTAACTCCTGATAATAAACCCACTCATTTACATTACCGTTCAACAGATCTGTCAACAAATGCTGTTGGAAATGTCCAATAATAAGCCCCCCTCCACCCCCACCCCACTCCCCTTCATTTAAGGTGTAATGAAATATTAAAGATACGTCTTTATAATCAAGTGGTTTGCGGTTTGTGGTTTGTGGTTTGTGGTTTGAATCTTCACAGGGGAGATAACTTCAATCACTTATAAAATGTATTTTTTATTACCATGGTACCTGTCTATATATATATATATATATATATCCTGATGATGAACGCCTGGCAGGTAAAACATATTGACAACTCCAGAACCAAAAAAAAAAACTAACGTTGAGGATGATGATGACTCTTCATTTCATTGTACTACTTTTTAAACTGAAAATGGAAGTTCTTCATAGGAGATCTAATGATACTGGGAGCTGAATCCAACTCTCCACCTTAACTACGGATCAGAATATGGCCATCAAATGTGATCATGATTAAATCGTAACTACACTGGCAAATGAACAGTCATGGGCATGCCTATGTTTGTCTTATTATAATGTATAATAACAATGCAGGACGACTAAAATGGGTCGCTACAAGTATCAGTTACACATTCACTCATGATCATAAGTCCATTGTATCACGAGTTTACAGAGATATTTGATACATCTCAACATTGTACTGTCTCCATTTTTTTTCACAACTTGATAAATACAAAATTAAAAATTTCACTTACTTATATACAAGACAGAAATTGTTAAATCTTCAGAAAAATATTTTACATATGCATGTTAATTGTTTTTTTTACCTACTTGGTAGAATTTTGGTGTGGTGAGTGCAAAGTGGAAATTTTAAGCAACATTTATCAGTATTAACTAAACAAAACAATTAAAACTACACTATTAAAAACTTTTTAAAGACATACTTGTATTTCTTAAATAACAGAATAATACAATATTTTTAATGATGACTTCCTGCCAATGTTAAGGGTCAAAGGTCAGAAATCTTCATAAAAACAATAGAGGAAGGACACCAAGTATGCAATCAATTTCACTTATCAAACCAGCTCTTCCATAAATCTACAAAATGGAGTTGATTATAGCTCCAACCCAAATTAGTAATCTTTTTTGTACATTTCTGAATTTAAAGGTCTTTTTCCAAGAGGTTTATGAGTATTTGAAGACATATTCTCACAAAACCATGACGGACAGTAGAATGTTTATGATTCCATCCACTACAAATAAGAAACATTATTCAACATTTGTAATTTATGTGTTCAAATAAAACAAGACATTTACGATCAATTCAGTGTTTCTGTGAAACCTCTGCTTTTGTAATCAATGTCTCGCTGCCTCTTGAGTCATTGCTAATATTCTACAGCGTATACATCAAGTAATCTCTCATGAAAAATGCACGCCATCATTGACACTCTGTAGGATAACCGTCGCCAAAACAATAACACTGTCATAAAGAAGCTGAGTAATCGTCCCTTTTGCACTGACCACAATCTTAAATCACTGAAATCTCTCAAAAATATCATTAAACCAAAACATCCTTGCAACATACTTGCATGTTTTGACTTTGATTATGAAAATCAGATTTCCTTTTTCAAACCATACACATAAATTTTTTTACAAAATACATTACAAAAGTAGACACACAACCTGAGAATTCTGGTCTATTTACAAATAATAATAATAAAAAAAATAATGAAAAAGCTTAAAGAAGAAACCACCAAAACTGCCTCAAAGACCACTTCTATAGAGGACAAGCACCTGTTTAAAATTACTACTTGGCTTTATTTTGTGATGTCATTCATACCAGCTATAAATTCTCTATATCAAGGCCACCTGCCTATTAAGACCAACTTTCTACCTTTTGTTTATCATTCCAATGTTTCCAATAATCACCAAACTCTATATGCAGATTGGTACATCATTAAAGGTCAGCATCGCACTTGAATATAGGTCACTGTGACCTACAGCACAAGAAGCGCCACATTTATTATACATCACTTAAATGGCTTAAATCATGAGCACTGCAGCTGAGTATAGGTCACTGTGACCTACATCATCAGGAGCACTGCACTTGAATATAGGTCACTGTGACCTACATCATCAGAAGCACTGCACTTGAATATTGGTCATTGTGATATACATCATCAGGATCACTGCACTTAAATATGGGTCACTGTGAACTAAATCATCAGGAGCACCACACTTGAATATAGGTCACTGTGACCTATATCATCAGGAGCACCACACTTGAATATAGGTCACTGTGACCTATCTCATCAGGAGCACCACACTTGAATATAGGTCACTGTGACCTATCTCATCAGGAGCACCACATTTAAATATAGGTCACTGTGACCTATATCATCAGGAGCAGTGCACTTGAATATGGGTCACTGTGATCTACATCATCAGGAGCACCACACTTGATTATAGGTCACTGTGACCTATATCATCAGGAGCAGTGCACTTGAATATAGGTCACTGTGATATACATCATCAGGAGCACTGCACTTGAATATGGGTCACTGTGATCTACATCATCAGGAGCACCACACTTGATTATAGGTCACTGTGACCTATATCATCAGGAGCAGTGCACTTGAATATAGGTCACTGTGACCTATCTCATCAGGAGCACCACATTTAAATATAGGTCACTGTGACCTATATCATCAGGAGCAGTGCACTTGAATATGGGTCACTGTGATCTACATCATCAGGAGCACCACACTTGATTATAGTTCACTGTGACCTATATCATCAGGAGCAGTGCACTTGAATATAGGTCACTGTGATATACATCATCAGGAGCACTGCACTTGAATATGGGTCACTGTGATCTACATCATCAGGAGCACCACACTTGATTATAGGTCACTGTGACCTATATCATCAGGAGCAGTGCACTTGAATATAGGTCACTGTGATATACATCATCAGGAGCACTGCACTTAAATATGGGTCACTGTGACCTACATCATCAGGAGCAGTGCACTTAAATATTGGTCATTGTGATATACATCATCAGGAGCACTGCACTTGAATATGGGTCACTGTGACCTACATCATCAGGAGCACCACATTTAAATATAGGTCACTGTGACCTATATCATCAGGAGCACTGCACTTGAATATGGGTCACTGTGATCTACATCATCAGGAGCACCACACTTGATTATAGGTCACTGTGACCTATATCATCAGGAGCAGTGCACTTGAATATAGGTCACTGTGATATACATCATCAGGAGCACTGCACTTGAATATGGGTCACTGTGACACATCATCAGGAGCACCACACTTGATTATAGTTCACTGTGACCTATATCATCAGGAGCAGTGCACTTGAATATAGGTCACTGTGATATACATCATCAGGAGCACTGCACTTAAATATGGGTCACTGTGACCTACATCATCAGGAGCAGTGCACTTAAATATGGGTCACTGTGAACTAAATCATCAGGAGCACCACACTTGAATATAGGTCACTGTGACCTATATCATCAGGAGCACCACATTTAAATATAGGTCACTGTGACCTATATCATCAGGAGCACTGCACTTGAATATGGGTCACTGTGATCTACATCATCAGGAGCACCACACTTGATTATAGGTCACTGTGACCTATATCATCAGGAGCAGTGCACTTGAATATGGGTCACTGTGAACTAAATCATCAGGAGCACCACACTTGAATATAGGTCACTGTGACCTATATCATCAGGAGCACCACATTTAAATATAGGTCACTGTGACCTATATCATCAGGAGCACTGCA